TTGGCAACTTGTGCTGTAATCTTTTGTTTAGCAGTTTCCCACTTTTCTTTGGGTAATACTAGCTGATTTGCAGCGCAAATACTTGCTCCAGTATCAATATACCCATGAAGGTGATATTGTTTATATCCAGGAAATTTAAATCCAACTTTTATATATGTACTATTTGGATTGGTTATATTTGACAATCGTTCCATTCATCAGAACTTTCATCACTACAACTTTCCCATTCTGAATTTGGTTTTGTACTAAACCTTTTAAATTCTAATTCAAATTTTAATTCATATTCTGAGCTATTTGAATCATTTTCTGACTCAATTGGTTCAAAACTGTATTTTTGCGTTGCATAAAGCATTTTTACTTTATCTTTTTGTTCATTTCTTTTTGGACATTCGTTAGCATAATGTCCTTCTTCTTGACATAACCAACACCTACAATTAGTTTTGCCCTTAGGGCAATACTTATTGTTTTTCTTTCCAAACCTTTTTCTATATTTTGGTTTATTAGTATTATTATAACTTTCTTTTTTATATTTTCTATACTTGGGAATGTATCTCTTATATTTTTTAAATTTTTGCTTGTTTTGTTTGCGATAAATCTTTTCTTTCTTTGTTCTACATCCCCATTTATTTGGGATTTCTAAAAGTTGTGGATCACAACAAGGTTTATTTTGGTAGTATAAAAGAGTTCCTCTTAATTGAGTGTCTTTGCATCTATCTTCTATTGTTTCTTTTAGAAGATTAACTCTTCCTGCAAAGCCATCGGTAATATGGTCAGATTTATTAGACCATTTTTTATTCATTTCAAAAGCCCACAAAGGTGGTAGTTTATTAAAATATTTTTCAGCATAAGCTGGTCTATCTTCTTGTCTTAACACGTAGTACCATTTTTCATACTCACATGTATAATTTTTCCAATAACAGATATCACATATCTGAATATTATCTAAAATGAACTTTGCCTTTTTATGTCTTTCTTCTAAGACAGCGTTTGTATTATCTAGTTCTCTTACTCCTACAAATTCATTAATTAGTAATTTAGCAAGAGCATTTAGATATTCTATGTTATCTTCTGGTTTATTCCAATGAGCATCAAGGCTAGGAACATATGGATTCCAGTCCCACCAATTTTTAACATTTCCTTTCATATGAAGTTCTAAGTATGTTCTCAGTGTTCTTAGGTCTTCAAATGCTTCTTTATTAGTTTGTATTACTACTAACATGTAGTTGTACCAACTTTTTATTTTTTCAACCGGTTTTGCTAAACAGTCTAAGTCAAGAATGTTGTCGTTATTATTTTTCGAGTCATCTCTTGGAATAAATTCTTTTGGAATAAAATTCTTTGATTTTTTCTTATAAGTTTTAGTTTTGCTTCTATTCATATTCATCATTCCTGGGAAGTTTACTTCTGGGAATGTTTCATATGTTTTATCTTCGTCTGATACTCCAAAATACCTATCAGCATTTGGATTGTAAAATTCATCATTTCTACATTCTTCAGGAGTCATGAATTCATGGGTATCACAATAATTACTTGGTCCTGGAGGAATATCCTTCAGGTCTTCTTCAATCTTTACATTTAAGCGATTTTTAGGTTCTGAACTATCACTTTCTGTACAAGATTCACTATAATTACCTATGAATTCTTTCAAAGATAATATATTCTGATATTTATCTATTAAAGATTGAACATCAGTTTCATTTTGACTCAATTCTGAATCAGAACTCATTTTTTCTCTTCTAGTCTTTTATATTTGTCCTTTTCAAATAAATCTTTAAGATTCCATTCATTGGGGGGTCTATAAGTAGGTATAGATTTCTTTTCTTTAAAGACTTTTATAAGTTTTTCTATTTCTATTGTTTTTGTGTCTTGGTTACTAGAATCAGACTGATGTATTGTTTGTTCTATTTTTAGAACGATTTCTTTTATTTCACTAACTATTGTTAGAATCTGTTGTACATTTCCTATTTCTGGATTTTTAGACATTTATTCCTAACTCATTTCCAATTTGATTTACAAGTTGGATTACTTTATTTAGTTTTTCTATTAGTGGGTCAATTTTTGGAATTTTCCCATCTAATTTTGTTAGAGTTTCTTCTAATCTGTTTATGTTTATCTTATTAATATTTTCTATGATTTTATCAGCTTTTGCTGCAATATCAAGAATTTCTGAAAGTAAAGTATCAAGAAATTCAATATTTCTACTTGTTTTTTCGAGTCTTTCAAGAATTAGGCCTTGATTTTCTCGAATTTTTTCAATATTTTCCCAGAGGGGAGTGTTTTTCATTTTTTAATGCTTTTTAAGTGAGTTAGTACCGTTATGAGTAATACTGGTACATTTTCTTTAAAGAAGTGGTACAAAGATAAAATTGTGTTTTATCTAATTGGTATAAGGGTAAAAATGTATTTTTCCCTTATGAGGGGACCAATTCTTTTGTCTTTAGGGAGTGGAAAGGAAGAAAATTTTGTTAGGGATTGAAGAGGAAAGTGAAAGTAGGTTTGGGGATTTAAAAGGAATTAGCCGAATTTAGGTGGTTAAATTGAGTTATTTTTAATAAAAGTTAATTGAGTTGATGGTTTTGGGTCTTATTGGATATTTAAAAAAAACGCAGGTTTTAACCGGTTGAGTCACATGGGTTGATTGGATATGGATCAGATTTTTTTTTTTTTTCTTTTTTTGCTCTATTTTGGTAGTGGAGTAATAAACACATCAACCCACCAATCAATCACATCTTTCAAAATCGTCCCCTCCCCTCATTCAAAAATAAATAAATAACAACTAACAAATAAAAAATAGAAAAAATTTTATTGTAGGACATGAAATAATAATCTTTATTGAGCTCATTTTAGGGACATCATAAATCTGACGAACCGGGACACGGTGACCGTAAATAATTTCACAACACATCATGAAATCAGAATTATTTATCAAACTATCGAGTATATTGACTTAATAGAATAAGATTGTTTTGGTAAATAATGTTGATTACATAATGTGCTATTCAGATTATTTATGGTAACCATGTCTCAGTGCGTCAGATTGATAATGTCCCCGAAATTAGCTCAAGAATGATTGTTATGTTAAACCTCACTAGTAAATTTAATTCCAACATAATAATAAAGAAGTTAGTGGTATTAATTTCTTAACGAGAAGTTGATTAATTATATTATTAGTAATTAAATTGATCAACAGACGTTAGATCATAGACATGGAGAGGTAAATCGAAAAATTAGCCGGGAGATAAATTATTTGTGATTGGGGGGCCACCCCCTTATTACTATGTACCGTTCTTCTTTGGACAATTTAGTCCCTGACATTTTTCCCAAAAAATAAATAAATAAAAAATCACGAGGTCAGCCGACCATGTGGTCGGCCGCAATCGCCGGTCAGGCAACTACATGGTCGGCTACAATCGTCGGAAGTGATCGGCCGCAATTGCCGGCCGGCCGATATTTTTTTTCCTAATAATCATATTAACAATATATTAAAAGAGTGATTAACATGCTTTGTTATATAGATACGTGTTCACTTAAAATTGAAATGGTAACAGACTTTGTTCATGAAAAATTGACAACATGTTAAAAGATTTTTCAATTTACAAGGCTTTGTTCATAAATTTTTCAACATGTAACATCATGTTAACCATTTTTCAAAGCCTGTTAAATCATTTCAAGTTTTAATAAGAATTACCATGTGAATATGACAACAATATTTATTTTATTAATTCATTTCAATTTTTAATATTCCCCAAACTTCAAATAATCATATTAACAATACGTTTATATGACAACATGTTTAAAGATAATTAATTATAATTTATAACATAATAATTTCTAAATTTTTACATAATAATAATAACTTTTAATTTATAACATAATAATTTCTAAATTCTTACCTTTAAAAAAAAGTGATAAAAAGGATATCCATCAGTTTTTGACAAGTACTCATTGAAAATGTCAATATAAAAATCATATATTTCAATAATATTTTTTAGATAATTAATTAAATTTAATTAATCATAGTCTTTTTCATGTCAAATATACGATATGTCTGGGTTCAACTGTAGATTTGGTAATTTCCGGCGCAAATCTCCGCTTCCGATTCTCCAAAGTCAGGCGACAATGGCCCAAATCTCAACCACTCGTCCTTGGCGCCACTTCTTCGACATCTCCGCATTCTCCATTCCTTACAGCTACGCCGACGCCATGTCCAGATTCCGCCACAACTTCAACCATTTCCGCGCCAATTACGCCCTTATCGCACTCGCCATCATCTTCTGCAGCCTCGTCTACCACCCCGTCTCCATGATTGTCTTCCTGATCGCGTCCGCCGCCTGGCTCTATCTCTACTTCTGGCGCGAGGATCCCCTCGTCGCCTTTGGCCGGACCCTCGACGACCGCGCTGTGATGGCGGTCCTGAGCTTGGTCACCTTGGTGGCATTGGTGTTCACTCACGTGGGCTCGAATGTCCTGGCGGCTCTTGTTATTTGGGTGGTCGTGGTTAGCCTTCACGCCGTGTTTAGGTGTACGGAGGATTTGTTTCTGGACGAGAGTGAGGCGGCCGGCGATGGCTTGGTCTCAATCGTGCGGTGACAAAATTGATTTAGGGAATTCAGTTTTAGCCTTTTGTCATGTCTGTTGGGAATGCTTGGGGCTGTTGATTTCTGCAGATTTGTGAAATCAGTAACTTTGGTTCTCTTGTACTCTGGGCTTCATTGGTGTGGAAAATTGCTCGAAAGCCACGGCTTTTCTGGGGAGTTGTCACTTTACAGAATCAAAAAACTGATGCGTTACAGCAGCTGTGAGTATCTGTAATCTTAATTGTATTTTGTGCAATTTGGATAAACTTTGATTGTTATTTTGTAATTATTCCTGCTAGTTTTAACCACTCAAGATGTTTGATCCTGGGATAATTTGGATGGAAAATGGGAACTGATTTAATTGAATTGAAGTTGACGAATTTATCGATAGACTTTGTAACACGGGACTTGAAATAGAACTTGGAAAAAATCATTTTTGGATATAGTTGTTGGAAATAGAACTTGGAAAAGATCATCTTGGCAATGTAATGTAGTCTTAGCAGGTTGGGCTGTTGATATTGCAGATGCATAAGATGCATAAAATCATTTTTTTTTTATCAAAGTTGATAAATCACATTTCTTGTCTTAGAATGGTAGAGTATGGGATAAATATAAAAACTAGCCTTTTTGTGTGATCACCAAAAGATAGCTTACTATGAGATCACAATACACTTCTGAGCATTAGCCCTTAAAATGATAGAATTTTTGGATATGTTTGTACTGGAATTTCGGTAATTTGACATTGCGTTTCTGAAGATTAGAGCAGTTTAGTTTAAGTTATGAGTTGAAATGTATTAGTGTATTACGCCTTCGATAATTCTGTTTGGTGGATCATACTTGCAGGCTGACATCGATAAATTTGAACTTGCTTTCATTGACTCGTAGCCAAAATTTGTGCTGAAAATTGTAATGATATCAGTATGCTTACTTAGCTGTTAAGATCTCGGATTTTTGTGGCAAAGCATAATTGCTTGGTTTACTTTATTATCTGGTCTTTTGGTTGCTTAAATTAATTCTCCGGCGTTTGGTTTAGGTTTGCATGTTCCAGATATTGTTCATTGTAACTATATGATTTATAAAATATAAATTAAAATCACAATACTTCTGCATCAGCATAATTCTTTTTATTTTTGTTGTGACTAGGTGAAATCTGTCAGTCAGTCCCTGATTTTCCGTGCCCTTCAACTTCACCCATTGATTTTGTTGACAAGCTAATGAATGACCTTGACATTGGGCTTGAGTTCAGAATACACGATCATATTGTTTTTATCGAGAGGCATGTCTAATCTGCAGTTTTCATCCATTGATTTATAGACGAGCTAATGACCTTGACATTAGGTTTGAATTCAGGATACTAAGTTTATATTTTTTTTATCAGGACATGTCTAATCTGCAGTTTTCATCATTTTAGCTGCACTTCAAAAACGTCTACTGAAAAATTGCCTCATGTGAATACATAACTGATTCTATAATTAAGACTTCTGAGTTCTGAGGGGAAACAAATCCATGGAGCACAATTTTGGATGACGGTCTTACAGCCTGTGTGTTTTACCATAGAAATCAGTTTATTCAGGCTTTGTTGAAACTAGTTCAGTTATGCTGTGGTAATGAAACAATACTGATCCATTGGTTTGCACGGATTCGTAAACAGGAGGGACGGTACTAGGAAATATCCTTCGCTTGATGATTGATGCTTTCGGCCTATCTGCAGTTGATATACTAGCAGAACACTACAAGTTTGTGCATTTTTAAGTCGAGCTATATTCGAGCTACTTGAGTTTGACTTGTTGAATACAAGGCGAAACTAGTATTTTAAAATACTTGGGCTAATGAAATTGCGATGGACAAATCTAGGATTTTAAAATACTTGAGGCTAACGAAATTGTGATCTATGATTCTTCTTATATTCAATCTCGGCGATTATAGTATCATTATCAATCTTTTCATAGTTGTCGTAGACACGAGGAGAGTCAAAATAAGACGAATTAGCATGTCAAATAAATTAAATTAATTAGATTGAATAAATATACTATAATTTACTTATCAAAATAGCTTTTGACCAGTGTTTTAAATACCGTATCGGTGGTCATACCCAGTGACGGATCTAGAAATTTCACTCAGGGGGGTCCGATTTTAAATATTAAATAATATAATTTAAGTCGAAACACTCATTTCATATACAAATTATTTACTATAAATATAAATATCAATATGATTACCATTATTTTTTAAAATACTTACAATCCGTATCACCCTTAAACTTAAAAGAAAAAAACGAAATTTCATATATTTATAATTTAAGTGCAATATCTATAATTTATGAAAAATAAGTTTTTTTGGTTGAAAAATTAATTTAAGTTTTACTTTTGCAGCACATTGTATAACGTTTTGTAAATGAGAGCTTATCAAATGAACATTTTGTAAGAAAAATAATAGTTAAAAATATGTAATTACACAACAAAAAGGTAAACAATCAATATTAAAAAATGTAACAATCCAACTAAAGACTCAATTTTATAAATCACTAGATTGATTTACAATTAAGAGACCAAAATAGTAAATCATTATAAATATTTTCAAAGCTTATATGAACTTGTAAAATATAAATATTGTTAGTATATATTTAAATAAATAAATAATATTATTAATTTAAATAACAATAGCATAGAAAATAAATTTTAAATATTAATATATTGTATATAATTTTTGCATTTTTATACATATTTATTGATTTTCTTTATATATATATATATATATATATATTTACTTCTTAAAAAATGAGGGGGGTCCATGGCCCCCCCGGTCCTCATTTGGCTCCGTGCCTGGTCATACCGGTCTAGCCACCGGTAAACGATATTACCGGTTGGACCGGTAATATCGGTGGTATTACCGGACTAGCAAATATAATGATATATATAAATATGCATAAAAATATATAATATCAAATGCAAAAAAGTAAAAAAATAAATGACCATAATCATTAATTTAACTTCTCAATGAGATAAAAATAAAATATTTTAACTACTAATTTTAAATTTTATGTTTTTAAAATTATTTTTTTTTTATTTTCCGGTTTTTACAGTATGATCCCGGTACAAACCGGTATAACCATAAATCCGGTATTTTTTGTGTAATTGTACTGTACCAATGGTCGGTGTCCGGTATTACCGGCCGATACGGTACGGTATTTAAAACACTGCTTTTGACAACTTTAATTGTACCAGTTAATCAAGTTGTAAATTTTGACTTATTTGTCTCGACTAATCTTCGACATAATTTAGATATAGTCAATAAGTCTTGAAATCTCTCATTACTAAGCTCAGAGCGGTTCAATTGTAATCTCAATCGGAGCAAATCTTGAGCCTGAAAATCAAAATGATAAAAAACGTTCGACAAGATGATGAATATGATCATCATTGAACAATTTAAAGCCTTCTTTCATATCCAAGCCAAATGAATTTAAAGCCTTCTTTCATATCCAAGCGAAATCTAAGCTTAAGAAGTGTGACTGCTTCATCCTTGAATCTGCTATTACTCTCTTCAGTTTGAAAATATATTGCTCAGTTAAATACATCAAAATAATAAAGATGTTCAATTGTGATTGAATCATTTCGCTGACTTGAACGACGTGTAGTGGATTTATAATGAGCTTCCATTTGAGGCACATCAAGACACAAACTTCCTCTACGTTTTAAAGGTGGGTACCAAAACCTTTTTTTCCCAACGTTACAAGTAACGTTTTAGAAGTTGAAATATTGTCTGTTGCACTTAATATTTCTTGAAACTTCTCTTGCAATGCTCGACAAATTAAATTTGTTATTCAATTATTTTTTGCATCAAGTATAATATGAATTAAAATCAAAGGACTTCATTGAAATGAAAAAACCACCTGCTTCACCTTGAATGGAATTAGAAGATCCTTCATCCACCGTGTTCTCCAACATGACGACCACATAGCTATATATATTTATCATACTGCAAAGTGACTCAAAATTAAAAATCCATTGACTCTTTACTGGTCTAAGTAAATTCTCAATTTGATTACACCCTCTACATGTATCACATTGCCCCGTTGTTATCATATGTGCAATTTTATTTTTTCGAGCAACTTGCAACTCACAGTAGCGTTTGGAAAAGAGACATTTTTAAGATTACCAGCTACAGTCAATGTGCGAAATAGTGAACATAATATGCACTCGGATACTCTTTCAAGAATAGAGCTTGCAATCCATTTCATGCCATGCATGTTGCTAGCACCATCACAACCCTGTCTCCGCATATTGTGAACATGTAAGTCATGCTGATCTAGAGCATCTTATATTTTTTTCTTATGCGTCGATGGGGTTGTATCAAGAACATGAATAATAGCAAAGAAACGTTCTCTTATAAAGTCATCAATATCGACAAACCTCAACACAATCGCCATATGCTCTTTGTTGGAATTATCTCTCGCTTCATCCGTGAAAATGCAGAATTTCATTGCTCCAACTTCCTCATGATTTTTAGATTTCACTTGATGAACAAGAATATTCAGAACATCTTTTTGAATATATGGAGAAGTGTACTTTGCATTTCCTGGAGCATTTCATAAGATTACGTATCCAACACTATCATTCATTCTTCTCATGAACTTTATCTAGTATTCAATCCTGTGCACATGCACAAATACAAATAAAATTTCATACGTTATATATATATGTGTGTGTGTGTGTGTGTTTTATGTAAAATTTTAAAATCATAAATTAGAAAATCAGCATATTACATTTATAAATGTTATCATTACTAAAATTATGATATAAATATAAACTATTTAACTTACATATTAATTTTAAATTTATGCAATTGATTATGACAATTAATTGGATAAAAAAATATTGAAATTATTATTATAGCAATTGTGTGCAAAACTTTGAATGGTTTGGTTATGCCATAAAAAATAATTAACTATTGTTAATAACAAAAATTGCTTAATGAGGTGAAAAAAAAAAAAGAAATAATAATTTTGAATAAATACTATGAAGAAAGATTTAGAATAGAATAACATTTAATGTGTCTTCATTATTAGTTAATAGTAGCAATTATACAACAAAAGAAATAAAAAATATAATTGTAATTAATGCAAAAGTAACAGAAGAAAGCTGGAAAATAAAAAAGAGTTTTATTAATTATTTTGCTAGCAATTATATATATATATATATATATATATTATATATAGATTGGAGATTCATCATGCCATCTAAATGCACATGCTTGCAAAGTGAGCCACTAGATCATGCCATCTAAATGCACATGCCTGCAATGTGAGCCATCAGATATTTTCAACGGTTGTTGTTATCCGTAAAATTACTATAAAAAGAAACAAAAAAGGCGAAAAATTTTCAATAAGTCTATTTATAGAGAACCTTCTCTTGTAATATATAGACGGGAAAAAGAAAGAAAAAATGGCGGGAAAATAATTTTTAGCTTTATATGCTCACTACGAGTGCTAAATAAAAGATTATACAAAAATAATTAATTTATTATTTTATATATAAAATGTTGATAAAATGACCAATAAGTATTGAGTTATATATATGATCAAAATAATTGACATTTTTTTTATTATTTTTTTCTTAATTTTTTAAAATTTTATTAACTTCTACATTTGTATTTTTACTTTTTATCAACCACTATAATTATAATAAAATTATATAATTATTTTCTAAATATATTTATTATTTAATTAAAAATGTTTGAAATATAGAAAACATTGTATTGTAATTGATTTTTTAGATATAATAATAATATAAATTTAAATAGATTTGAATTTATATACAAATTCAAACATATTTAAATTTATATTAAAAAGCATATGTATATTTATTAACTTATTAAAAAAAAATATATGTAATTGACCAGTCCGTTGAACCAATTCTGTATGGTTCATTGGAAACCGGCTCGTTCAAAGGAATGTAACCATTTAGTTGACCGATTTTCTATTCAACCGCCAGTTTGATCCAGTTTTCAAAACAACAGTAGTGGATATTATTTTTTTATTTACTTTTATATGTTAAATTTTAGTAACCTCTATAGTTCTATATTTCTAATAAAATTAAATAGTTATTTTTTAAATATATTTATTATTTACTTAAAAATAATTTGAAATATAGATAACATTGTATAGTAATTAATTTTTTTGTCTATTTTTTACCATCAAATAATATTGTTATATACTCACGACATAAAAATTGCAACAAAAAATAGTAAAAAATAATTTTTTTCAACATTTGGGAGAAAATTTACAACACAATCAATTTTTGGGACTAAAATTGTAATTTCCTCTTTTTTCAACCTAACGACCAATGACCTCGTGACTCTCATGTGACATCCTCATTAATGTTGACGGTTTTAAGACTACTTTCGCA